CATTTGGAAAGGACTACCCCAGGATTCTGCAACTATTCTGTCTTTGGGGACAACCTGGGCCTGGACAGCCTGGGCCTGGGCTCTGCGAGCTTCATAAAGCTACAGCCACAGGTACAAAGACAGATGATATCTAAGCACACAAGGCTGTCATAAATCACAAAGAACCCCTTGTTCCAAGATAAAATATCTAGTGTTCCTGATGTGCCACACAATCATGACCAACCCCCAGAAGTAGCAATTGATGAAGGGGAACCTTGAGATTAGCCTCACAATCAACATGAGGCAGACAATGGAGCTGGCTTGGAGTCCAGCCATGAAGGCAGAATGGATGTGGAACCAGGATGTAGCCCTATGAAACATGGAGAGACTCTCCAAGGACATCATGCCTGTCCTGGGCCCTAAGTGGCCCACCATGGCCAGGTCAGTGCTGCATTCTCTTCTCTTGCCTAGAACGGACAGCTTGCCTTCCCAGCCACCTCCTATTGAGAATAGAGAGCTGATGCCTAGCCTTTGTGCCCAGGTGCTCCCCACCTCCAAAGGTTCCCGTCCCAGTGAAGAGTTTATGAGAGGATGGCGGATGAGCCAGGTACAATCAACAACTATGGATCCATGGGGCTAGCCTGGGGCCAGCAAAATTCAATAGCCCAGAAATGCACACAATCCTGCAGCAGATTTCTGTAATCCTCCAGCTAAGGCAGAATGTGATCGCAACACCCCTCATGCACAGCATGATACAACCATGGACCAGAACCCTGATTTTGCTGCTCAGATGATGGGGAATATGTTGATCTTCATGAGGGTTGCCCTGCTTAGCCACAGCTGAAGGAGCAGCTCAGCCTGCAGCAACCTGTCTTTCCACAGCAGAGGCAGAACCAGGAGTCCTTCTCCATCCTCACCAATCCCTGCATCTTGCAGGTCTTACTGAAGATGCAGCAGGGTAGGCAGACTCTGGAGAGAGCAAGGCACCTTTGCACCTTGACACCAGCCTTAGCTCCTTTGGGAGGTCATAGATCCTAGCACCACAGACAGACAGCAACTCTGGAACTACAACCGAGGCTCCACCTCCTCACCAGCCATGACAGCCACATCTCCTCTCACAGGAACTCCCACTACTAATAGCAGTTCATGAACAGATGATCCAGTGTTTGGCTGGAAGTGCAAACTCACCCATGCCAATGCCAGAAGGGAGATTCCATCAGTGGCGGCGGCAGCTCCACTCCATGGGCTTCCTCAAACCTGAGGCCATCTGGAAGGCTCCAACTGTCACAGGAGAGGACTTCAACTCCTGGGCCCCAAGCTCTCTGGATACCTTAGCTCATATCCTACCTGTCCTCCCACTCAACACCAGTCTTTTGTTCCTCTGTCAGCCCTGTCCTTTGCAGCTGGTCCCTCTGGTCTTCTTTCTTGCCCTCTCCAACCACCAGGTGGCCTAGCAGACAGGAGCTGCAACCCCGTAGCTTGGTCTGTGACCCCCACCCCTACTTTTGGTGATGTGCAAACTTGCTCGTAGGACTGTGGAGGCAAGCATAGGAGGGCCCAGCTGTCTGGCTAATTGGAAGAGTCTTCCAATAGTTTCCTTACATTTACTTCCTGTAACTCGTTTCCTTCTTCTCCCTGTCTCCCTGACCACAGGCTTGTTTGCTAGAATCTCACACTGTGAAGGTAAGGGGCATGTGACACAGGATGACCTTCTTCCTCAACCTTTATGCTGCTCATTGCTTACTTTGATATTTCTTGTTTTTTGTTGGGACCTCAAAGGTCAGAAGGAAAATATCTGTTGTTGTCCCAAGAGGGAGCTAAGGCACAGCACTCTGAAGAGGAATCATCCAGGCAGATCATCCCAATGGAGATTTGTGCAGAGGAAAAGGGATTGGAATTTCTTGGAGGGAGGGAATGGGGTGGGTAGGGAGGTGGAGACTGTAACCTGGGCAAAAGGCCTAGAAGCTGGCATTGTCAATGGAATAAGGAAACACTATTAGCTCTTTTTGACTGTAGAATTCAGGGCCAGGCCTGGCAGAGGAAAACTAGAGCTATGGATGGAAATTGAATTCAAGAAGAGCTCAATAAACTAGGCAGGATATAGGCTCCATTTCTTCAAATGTATGCACCCATTTCCAGAAGCCTGAGACCTGGCCCAGTAATTTAAGCCCCCCTCCCCACTTGGAAGATGTAAAGGGAATTGAGACCTGTCTCAGCCATGGGATGGTGTGTGTGTGTGTGTGTGTGTGTGTGTGTGTGTGTGTGTGTATGTGTGTGTGTTTGTGTGGGTGTTCATGGGGATACATATGTGTGCATACATGTGAGTCAGGAAGTATGAGTAGCCTCTATAAAACGGTTGTGGCTATGATTGCCAATGACACCAATCATCACTCTTTTGGGGAATAATGGTGAGATTTTTCCCCAGAGCCCTTAACCTTCAGCTGAAGGCTTCAATCTTCTAGGCCAGAAAGTTCCTTTCGAAGGAGAGGGGAAGGAGGCAATGGTGCCTTTAATCTGGAATTGGACATTGCTTCATGGGAGCACAGATGAAGTCCTTATTCCCTTCTGCCTTTGCTGTGTGGCATCTGCTTGTGGCCCTATGGCTAAAAATACTCATATGGGAGGGGCAGTGTAATGTTCTATGTGGAAAAGGGCGCAAAGCAGTGCAGAAAAGGTGTCTTTTCTTTCCCCAAGTCTCTCTTTCTCCCAACTCCCACAGTTACCTTTGTAAATGGTGGTGGTGGTGGTGGTGGTGTGTGCTGGGCCTGGGCACTATCTCTGAGCATTTTTTGCTCAAGGCTAGCACTCTACCTCTTCAGCCACAGCTCCGCTTCCAGCTTTTCTGTGTGGGTTAATTAGAGATGTGAGTCTCACAGACTTTCTTGGCCTGGTTGACTTTTTTTTTGTCACTCATGGAGCTTGAACTCTGGGCCTAGGCGCTGTTCTTCAGCTCCTCAGATCAAGGGGGGCACTCTACCACTTGAGCCACAGTGCCACTTCCTGACCTGGCTGACTTTGAATTGCGAACCTCAGAACTCAGTCTCCTGAGTAGTTAGGATTACAGGTGTGAACCACCAGCACCTAACTCTCCTTTGTTTTTGACAAAAGAAGGGATTAAGGAAATATTATGAACAAATAGAAAAGGTGAGAAAAGTTCTAGATTGCTAAAATTTTCAGTTTGGAGTGTCATCACTTGGATCATGGAGATCTGAGGGCAACAAGTGACCTTGCTGGAGTCCCATTCTGTACTTCAAAGTAAAAATGTAAGTCACAAAGGTATTTCCATGGGTATGCTTTCCTCACCTCTAGCTGAAAGACACTAGTTTCAGTTGCCTGGCATTCATTTTGTTAAACTGTCAGTTAATCATCTAGTGGGTGTGTAGAAAGGGGCAGAGGAAGGGAGAGAGAGGACTCAACGTACATATATGACAATGGAACCAGGAAAATAGAAGGGAGGGAAGGGGTTAGAATAGGGGGGGAAGGATAGCAAAGGTGACTCAGATCTAGAGGCACTGTACTCATAAATTGACAGGTTGAATTGAAATCCATTCATACAACTACTGAAAGACAATTTAAAAAAGACAAGGATGGATGGTGTGTGTGGATGGAGATAGTTGGGACTTAAGATCAGTTGAATGCTTCTCCAGTTGTGAGGTGCATGTTCTTCATAGAGCAAATGAAGGGCTGAAATGAGGGACTAGAAGTTTACTGAGGAGAACACTGAGGAATAGAAATGTAAATGTGGCTTTGAAAACAAGTGTTAGCCTGGCATGGTGGCTCAAGCCTGGAATACTAGCTCCCTAGGAAGCTGAGATCTGGGGATGCCAATTCCAGGCCAATCTAGGCAAGAAGTTTCCAGGGCTTCATCTCCACCCCTGGCTGGGCCATGGTGGCTGGCACCTGTCATCCCAGCTTCTAGGCAGGGGGATCACAAATGGGAAGATCCTGATCCAGGCAGGCCTAAGCGTGAAGGAAAGCCTATCTCAAAGGATAACCTAAACAAAAAGGGCCAGGGGAGTGGCTCAAGTCTCAGAGCACCTGCAAGGCCTTGAGTTCAAACTGTACTATTGCCAAAATCCAAAACAAAAAGAAAAGAAAAAGAAACGTGTTGAATTAAGGCCTGCGTCAGGATGCTTGACAAGGTGGAGAACCTGTTGAAGAGTGAAAACTGCGTGTGACTCAGCAAAGACCGCTTTGCCAGGAATGCCAATGGTCATTTTGATGACACCTGCCCTTCCTATCAATAAGCATCATGGCAGCCACTGCAGTCCTTGGCCTAGCTGTGGAAGGGGGCATTTGTGTGAGGTTCTCCAGGGTGGGGATGGGGAAGGGCAATGTCTGGGAGTGCCACAGCAGGGCCTGGCTGGGATACACACGGAGAGGCTTCTAGGCATGCACAATGCAGTCCGTGGGCAGGAGGTTCCCTATGGCAGAGGTGCCGGGCGCCTGCGCAGTGTGCCCGCGGCAGCGCGCTCCGCGGGAGCAGGGAGACCCCCGCCCCGCCCCTTGCCCGTTCCCGCGGACGCGCACACGAACCGAGTGAGAACGCGCACGCGGTTTCGCCTCACCTCGCTCAACCCCTGCCTGAGCAGCTCACGGGGGCTGAGGGTGGGGGTGGAGGGAGCTGCGCACCGGCGACGCGGTGGGCTGTGGGGCATCGCGGGCTCCCGACTCCGTGAGGGGGCGGTGGAAGCGACGCCTCCAATCAGACGGCGGGCTCGGGACCCTCCGCGTGCTCGGGCTGCGCTGCCCGCCCCACGGCCCGAGTGACTGGCTGCCTGACGCCGGCCCGCCCCCGCGCCCGCGCCCGCGCCCGCCTCCGCCCGCCTCATCTTCCCCGCGGCTCCGCTTGGCTCGCAGCAGAGGCGCCTCGGTCTCCAGCCGTCCGCCCTCGTTCGCTGCGTCGCTCGCTCCCTCGCCCGCCCGCCCGGCCCTCTCTCTGCAGCCACAGCCGCAGCCGCAGCCGCCACAGCAGCTCCCGGTGTCCGCGCGCGGCCCGCAGGGCGCAGCCGGCTCCGAGGATGAAGTGCAAGCCGAACCAGACGCGCACCTACGACCCCGAGGGCTTCAAGCAGCGGGCGGCTTGCCTGTGCTTCCGCAGCGAGCGCGAGGACGAGGTGCTGCTGGTGAGCAGCAGCCGCTACCCCGACCGCTGGATCGTGCCCGGCGGCGGAATGGAGCCCGAGGAGGAGCCGGGCGGCGCGGCGGTGCGCGAGGTGTACGAGGAGGCGGGCGTCAAGGGGAAGCTGGGCCGGCTGCTGGGCGTCTTCGAGCAGAACCAGGACCGCAAGCACCGCACCTACGTGTACGTCCTCACCGTCACCGAGCTGCTGGAAGACTGGGAAGACTCGCTGAGCATCGGCCGGAAGCGCGAGTGGTTCAAGATCGAGGATGCCATCAAGATCCTGCAGTGCCACAAGCCCGTGCACGCCGCGTACCTGGAGAAGCTGAAGCTGGGCGGCTCCCCGACCAATGGAAACTCCGTGGCCCCGCCGTTGCCTCCGCCCGAGAGCCAGCCTCAGTAAGTCCAGCTCCCTCCCGCGCCGACGCTGCGGTCGTCGCCCCCCCCCCCCCCCCGAAAACCGGTCCCTCCAGCCCGCAGCCCTCGGGAGCCCCTCAGCTGCCATGTGCGTGCGGTCGGTCGCGCGGGCAGGAGCAAGGCTTCTTTTGTTTCCTTGGCAGGCGGACCTCCGAATCACGCTGCGAGCTGTCTGGCTTGCCAGGCTGCTCGCAGACAGTTCGCACGTTTTGCAGACGCGATGGAAATATCGCTTCTTGGTGACACTGCAGTGTCTCCCTGAGGCCCGCCGGCAAACCATTGCCTGGCAAGGTGCCTTCGCGGCCGGCCCTGCTTGTGGGGGGCGGGGGCGGGGCGGGCCCGCTGATGTTTTTGTTTGGGTTCCCCCCTTCATTTCCATATGTTTGTGCGTGAGTATGCGTGCGCATTTCTGATGCCAGGCTACTGCTGGCTCCTTCCTTGCCTGGTGGAGGCCTTTAAATTCCAGCCGGCCTGGTCAGGGTTGGCATCTCCTGTTGTTTTCTCCTTCAGCAGCCTTCCTGCTTGTCAGCGATCCCTTCTGGGGTGGGAGTGGGTTGCAAGAATCCATTTTAAAATTATGAAAAATAAAAAAAGGAAAAGGAAAATCTGAAATTTTACATCTTATGCTTTCTTCAGCCAATAGTAATTTTAGCTTCAAAGATGGGTTTTGATATGCTCCTGTCAAGACAATTCTTTGTGTATTTCTATGTAGACATTGAGAGAGACAGAGACAGAAATTTTCACACTGGGCAATTCCTCACTGCTGACTTGACACGGCCATTTCCTGTAGAGTTTACGAGGTTTTGCCCTAGAGAATAGGTATTTCTGGGTATTTGCTAGGGAAACACATCTTCCCGTGAAACCTGTGTTCTGGACTCTCAAGTGCCACGTTTGGATGGCTAGAAGAACCTTGGTTCTCTCACGATGCATGTGTGATGGGAAGTGGTCTCTCATATATTTGTCTTTAGTATAAACCTAGTTAAACTTTGCTAACTCAAGCAAGCAGAGGAGTGTGAGCTTTGGTAGTGATTGCTTCCTAGTTGAGTGAGTTAATGCTCCCCCCTCTCAGCTGTCATGGGCATCCCAAGACCTTAGGACACCCCAGCAGTCTCACTAATGGGACCTGGAGCGAATGTCTTTGCAGCCCAAAGTTGGTTGTGCTCAATTTTGAGTACTCCCATTGGCATTAATACTTGCTTGACAGCAAACACCCCATCTAAAAAACCTGTCTGTCTTTTGGAACTTCCTTTATTCACGGAGCTATGTTTGAAGTTAGGTGGAATGAACGCTTCCTTTGGAAAATAATTATTGGAGATGGAAAGATGTTTAAACACAATTACTGCTAAAGATTTACTGGGCATAATCTTTAAAAATTATTTGCTGACAGTCATCATATATATGGAGGAATGCATAAAATCTTAAAGTCTTAATTATAGAGTTTAATGAATTTGCACATAGTAAACACAGATAACCAGAATGCAGATCAAAAAGCAACATTGCCACTAGCCCAAAAGCTCCTGAATTAATCCTCCCAATCTCTACATTGCTCTGCTGTCACTAATACCAGGGAATAGTTCTGATTTTGAATGATACCTATATGCCTTTTGCTAACAGTTTGTGTTTTTTTTTGCCTTTTATCATTCATAGTACTATAATATTTTTCTTCATTGAGTTTGAGTTGTAATTTCACGAATTCATATTGTTATATGCTACTAAAATGTGCGTCACATTTTCTAAACAAATGTGATTTCTCTTTTTAAAAATGTTTGTTTACATTTAAATAAACATAAAATATAAGTATCAGATTACCAAACATTTTCTGCACTAATATTTCCAAAGGAAATGGTAAACTGGAATGTAAGTAGTTAAAAAATATGTCCATGTGATTTTTTTTTTGTTGTTGCTTTGTATGTCCCTCCCCCATGGTATAACCCCTGTTTTCACTATATTTGATGGTGGTATAATTTGGGGAGGGGAAGGGAAAAAACAAAATGTTTAAGTAGGGATACAGGTTGACCCATTGCAACAATGAGATGTACAAGACACTATGTCGAAAAACGAACTTTATAATTTGGGGGAGGGGATGTAGTTGTGGAGGTGGGAGGGAAGGGATGGTAGGGGGAAAACAAAGGAGGAGGCAACGATGCTTGATAAGAAGTGTACTCATTTCCTTGCTCACGTAACTATAACCCCTTTCTATAGTATTTTCACAATAAAAAACGTATTAAAAATATGACAGACTAATACTTGTAGCTCATACCCATTATCCTAGGTATTCAGGACAATGAGATCTGAAGAGGAACATACTTGATCAAATGCCAGTTGGAGCAGAAAAGTCCATGGGAGTTTTTTCAGCTTGTTAGAGGAAAAACATTGTATTTGATTATACTATAAAATATTATACTAATAAAATTCCCCCCCCCTTTCTCTCTTTGCAGTACTGGTGTTTGAACTCAGGGCCTAGGTACTATCCCTTCACTTTTTCACCCAAGTCTAGTTCTTTACCATTTGAGCCATAGCTTCACTTCCAGTTTTCTTGCTTGTTAATTGGAGATAAGAGTCTCATGGAATTTTCTTCCCAGGCTGGCTTTGAACTGTAATCTTTAGATCTTAACTTCCTGAGTATTGCATGAGCCATTGACACCCAGCTTTAACAAAGAGTTGTTTAGGTTTTTTTTTTTTGGCAGTACTGACGTTTGAATGCCAGTCATGAGAGGAAAAAGCCAAGCAAGTGTGCAAAACCCAGCTGTGCATTAGTGGTTCAAGCCTGTAATCATAGCTACTTGGGAGGCTGAAATCTAAGGATCGCAGTTCAAAGCCAGCCTGAGCAGTAAATTTTATGAGACTCATCCCCAGTTAACCAGCAGAAAACTAGAAGTAGAGCTGTGGCTTAAATGGTAGAGTGCCAGCCTTGAGTGAAAAAGCTAAGGGATAGCACTGATTTCAATCACCAGTACCCACACAAAACAAGACAAGTTTATCATATAGTGTAATTGGATTATTTTTGTTTCTTCTGACAAACTGAAATACAATGAACAGATATATATGTACATAATACATATACATACATACACACATAATAGATTTTTAGAATACATTTTCAGTATAATTTAAGTAGGATTTTTAGAATAGATTTTTTTCAGTATGAATTAAGTAGGTTTTGTAAAACAGTATAAAAGTCTTGTCCAATAATTAAAAGCTCCTTTTAAGACTAACTCAATAATCAGTTTAGTCTTCCAAAATAGTGATGTACCACAAGGATTAATTTTTTCTTCCTGAAACTGTTGTAAGCCACTTACACATTTTATGATAGTATCAGAAATGCACAGTTAACTTTTATTGTCCTTCAATTAAAAAAGGAAAACGTTTTCATCACAGATAATTGTGATTTTCAGTTATGAATCAAATTTAATTTCTTCACATTTTATACATATTCTGCACATTTTTAGCTGCTCAAGTGTTTTTTTTCTGGTTTTGTTTTGGTGATTCAGTTTGAAGTATGCACCATACCACTAAGCTCTCAGCCCCGTGGTCAAGTGTTTTATTCTTGCACATGTGTAAAGAGAAAACAAGGAAATGTAGATACCTAGATATACTGGAAATGTTTATGTGCATGCAGATATAAAATTTGTGCAAATATAAAATTTGTTATCCACACTTTAAAGAAAACAATTGTAAAGAGGTGAAATTGTTCAATTGCTTCTTACTTTCTTTCATATAGATCCATTTAAGGTAAGATAGGTATGCTTCAAATAGTGAAGCACCTACCTGCCTAAGCAAGTGCGAGAGACTGAGTTCAAACTCCAGTACCGCCAAGAAAGGAAAGAAAAGATCCGTATAAGACTGGCAATTTGTTTATACTTACTAATTATAGTAAATGTAATTATACAGATAAAAAATTTTGACATGGCTAGAGCTTTCACTTTCAGGCTTCCTTTGTGGAAGAAGCTGCCAGATACTACCAAAAAGAATTTCATAGGTATTTTTTTTGTAGTTTTCTCTAGATAATTTACTATACTATATTTAGCAGACTTGAAGCACTTTCGAGCAAAGAGCACTATGAGAACTGGAAATCACTATGGAGATTACATTAAAATATGACATTTTTATGAGAGAACTTGATGTTTTAGAAACGACATTGGAAGTCAGACAAACCTAGTTCCAGTTCTTATTCTGTAGCTTTAGCTAAGTTATTTAATTATCTCCTGCTTATGTTTTTTAAAAATCTGCCACCAGACATAATAAAAATAGATACTTCATAAACTTCTACAATGAGAAGCCTTTTCTGACTGAGGCTTAAATCCTATTCTATGTGAATGTTACTACAGTTGGATTTAATCTATTGGTATCACTTTATGGCCACCAGCCTGAATGACTCCCATGAGCCTAGAGTCAAGAACAGAGAGTTTTATGTCTTAAATGTTTTATGTCTTAAATTTACATTCCCCTTTTGCATAACTTCTAGTATCATGAGTTTCCTGAGACTTTTTGGGGCTGCCACTCTCTTTCAATTGCTGATCCAGACACCTATAGGATTTCCATTAGATGATTCTGTGACAGTTTCCCAAGTACCAAGTGATTGATAAACCCTCAATAATTTCGTCAGTGGGAAAAATTGTTAATGTAAGGCTCCTAATTGTATGTTGCTGTCTCTTTCCAGATGAGCAGTAAAGATGTTCAGGAATCATTGATGTGAATCCACTGCACGATGGATTTGTCAACTTCTAACGTTCCCGAGGAGACAGCTCATCTGGTTTTCCTCTTACATCTTGGGACATTCCTTCCCCGTCTATTCCACTGACTCTTCTTGCTCTGGTTGTTGTACTGTTGTACGTGAACAGACTTTAACTCAGCACCTATAGCCTTTTGTTGTGCTTTTCTGATGTGTCTGCCTTTGCCATTAGACTGTATCTTTGAGAGCAAAGACTATTTTTCCTTACTCTTTGCATTTTCTGCATCTGAGGCACTACTTGAAATATGGTTGGCATCACTGAAGGTCTTTGATTCAATTAATATTTTGTAATCCCTGTGTGGCAAAACATTCCCCTCCCAATCTGGTGCTAGTAGAGTATATGCTGTCTAAGCACCATACATGTGGCTTTTGTGATTCAGGTGTTTCAGAAACATTTCAAGACAGTTTAAGATGTTCAAGGACATGAATTATTACTCAAATTTCTATGTCATACCGCACAGTGGCTTGCACAGTTTAAAGAGTATGCCATCACTTAAGGCAACATTTTGTAGAATCAGTCCTTCGTGTAACAACTTTAGTGTTTTTGTACTGTTGTTAATTTGCTTAAAAGTTTATTCAAAAATCACTTGCTATAAAGGTAATTGTAAGAATAAATACAATAAACGATATTGTGTTTTTCTAAAAATTTAAAATAATATGAAAATAATACATTTAATTTTGTTTGCGATGCTCTAATCACTACTTACATGCCATCTTAACATCTTAAGGAAGAAAACAAATTGCTATTCTCAATTTGCAGATTCAATATAATGTGTTATCTAATGCCAGAGCCAAGAAAGACTGCTTAGATAGGCACTTTCAAAGTTAATTTTGTCATTTAGTTTGCCTAGGTTTCTTTTGCCTCTTACTGTTCCAGTTGACCATAGTTTCTAAAACTTTTCTATATACTCAGCTAGCTTTTCCCCCCCACTACTTTCAGTATATGAAAATTCAGGGGGCTCTGGTGGAACGCTACATTGTCACTTAGAAAAGACTATTGGGTAAGATACTGCTGTAAAGAGGTAACAGAAAATGAAGGATTTGAAGAGGGGACTTGGGTCAGCTGCTTCTAGGAGAACAACTTTAAGAAAAGCGCAGACGTTCATTGAGTTTGGTTATCATGGGGTATGTGATGTCAGCACTCTTCTTCAGCTCCTTGAAAAGGCCCAAAAGTAGCTCTTAAAATGGTAGTTTTGTTCTTTTGCATTATAAAGCAATTACCTTGGGTAAAGCTTGAACTCCGTTGCAGTGTTACACCTTGCTTCATGGTACTAGTGAAGTGTATTGATTGTGTCTCAAAATCTTAACAGGATTTGAAATAAAAACACATCTTACAATTTGTTTTTAAGTGTGATATGGTCAGTACTTTGGTCATTTTTTTTTAATTCTTTTAGAGAAATGTTCTGAAAAAAAGGACAGATACAGTATTGCTATTTGCTTCCGTATAATCTGAGGGTGGGGTAGGTGAGTGCATAGATGGAATAAGATTGGTTCTGATTTTATTATTATTGAAGTGGTGTGATGGATGTTTGAGAATTCATTATACTATCCTCTATACTTTTGTATATGTTTGAAAATTTGTGTAATAAAAGTTCAAAAAAGTATTCTTCAGAGTTTGCTTGTAGGCCCTTACAATTTAAGTATGGAAGGTTGGTCAGAAGGCAAATTCATATTTCAGAAAGACACCCTCATTCTCACCAAAACTGTAACTTTTGTTCCCAAGTGAAACCCATTGGCAGACTTCTCTTCCCTTAGTGAATTTTTGGCTTGGAGTAACTACTAGTATGCCAGCCATGAGCATAGCAACAGACACATTTACAACATTCTTCATTCTACAATTTATTGCTTAAAATACATAATTTTTCTGATTACAAAATTTATCTGCAGAAAGTTAAAAAGCAAATACAAATGAAGGTCAGGTACTAGTCAGTGGCTCATGCCTGTAACTCTAGCTACTCAGCAGGCTGACGTATGGCAGGCAGTTCAAAGCCAGCCTAAGTAGCAATGTCCAGGCTAGACAAAGCCTGTGAGGCTTAATCTCCAATTAGCCACCAAAAAGCCAGAAGTGGAGCTGTTGCTCAAGTGGCAGAATGCTAGATTTGAGTATGAAAACTCAGGGACAGTGCCCAGGCCCAGATTTCAAGCTCCAGATCTGACGCAAAAACAAATACCAAGTTACAAAAAATCATTCTATCCAGAAATAACCAAGTTTTGAAAAAAGCCATACAAACATTTCTCTCATTTTTCCTTTCCATATATGTGTGTGTGTATGTGTGTGTGTGTACATAGATAGATAGATAGAGAGATAGATATGGATATAATGATGGCACATGATTTGTATCCACTATAATATTGGGGAAAAAACATGACCCTTACATTGTTGGACAAACATTGCAGAGCCACCTTGCTCTTCCTAAGAATTTTTTACATTGATGCTCATGGCCATTGTGGAATATGTGCTTTATGTGCAGAAAGTAAGACAAATCTTGAGTCTGAAATAGACCAAGCTATGCTATAATTACATATAATAGGCCTGTTTGGTTTTGGCTTATTTCCTACTTGTTTCACTGCCAAACAATGAAACTGGGGTGAGATATCAAATCTGTTGAGTGCTTTCTTAAGTTACACATCTGTAACACACTGGTAAAAAGTAGGCTGGCTATCACCTTACCTGTCTTATACAGTGTTAAGATTTCACTAGCTACTCAGCAAGCTATGGTATGACTGCCTCTGACCATCACGTACTTGCTCTTCCGCTGGACACAGTGGTTTCTAATGGGTAAACAAGGGCGCCACCACTCAGGGAAGAGAATCAGGATTTACCCTTCTATGATTTTTATTTTTTGCATGCACTGGGGCTTGAACTTGGGGCCTGGGTACTGTTCCTGAGCTCTTTTGCTCAAGGCTAGTGTTCTACCCATTGAGCCATAGTTCCACTTCTGGCATTTTGTGGTTAATTGGAGATAAGGGTCTCAGAGACTTTTAATACCTGGGCTGGCTTCTAACCGAGATCTTCAGATCTCAGCCTCCTGAGTAGCTAGGATTTCAGGCATGAGCCGGTGGTGCCAGGCCCTTCTACATTTTTGCCCATATTGTGCCCTTGCTTGTCCCTAATTTCCTACAGCAAGCACTATAGGCTATGTGATAGAAATGTTAATATACAGGATACAGTGTACAACTACACCATATATCCTAGAAGGGTTGGACCCTTTCTAGTCTAAATGGCATGGGGAAATGCCCTGGCCTATCTCTCAATAGCAACTACTATCAAAAACTGAGATTCTGAACTTTGAAATCATAGCTGTGAATGGCTTGTTCCCAGAATTCCAATCTCCTCTTAGCACTTGAGAGATCTCAAATTTGTATTCCAAGAATGAAGAGTTGGGGCCTGAATTCAGTGAAATTCAAAGATATACATAGATGGAAGGTATCCACGTAATCAGCTTCTAGGAAAATGCAAATTAAAACCATGATTCAATGAAATGAAAGTTCTAGGCTGTGAAATGAAATCAAGCTTCATCTTACCTCGTGTCATGCTCTCTGGGTTGAAAATAAAAAAAAAATTAGGTAGATAACATGTAAATGTTAACTCAGTACTCCTCTTTCTGGGATGGTAAACAGAAACAAAAAAGTCCACTGTGAAGAAGCAATGTGAAGAAGCTTGCTAGTTACGTTTGAGAATTTAGACTTCTTTGGGGCCAGTAAGAGAACAGAGGGCTCAGGGCAGGGTAGGTAATTCCCTTTTCCTTTCATCTACTTCATCAAATTTAAGCCTCATTTCTCAGATGTTAAAGGAAGATTTAAGGTAGACTGCAAAATCATTCTTAGCAGGTAATTCCAGCAATGGCATCATGCTCCCTAGTGGACATTATAGGATTTACCTTGCTCCTGAAGTATTTTCAAAATTGATTAATGTGGGTGCTGGTGGCTCACACCTGTAATCCTAGCTACTCAGGAGGTTGAGATCTGAGGAACATAGTTTAAAAGCCAGCCTAAGCAGAAAAATTCATGAGACTCTTATTTCCAAATTATTAACTAACAAACCAGAAGCAGATGTATAGCTCACGTGGTGGCATACCAACCTTGAGCAGAAAAGCACCAGTACTCACATAAAAATAAATTGTGATTAAAATGTAATAATTAGACACATTAATGGAGTACAGTATATGTAGATGCATGCACAGTGTGTTCTGATCAAATAAATAATAACATTTCTCCATTCATATAAAATATTCATTCTCAATGTTAGATGTGAGGAGGTAGATTCCATTAGTCTCAGTTCAGCTGGGAAAATTGAGGCTAGCAAGGTTAAGGAAAATGATACAGATATGATAAAGTATAAACCCTAAAAGTAGATTCACACAAATTTACCTTTTTTTCTTTTTCTTTTTGAAGATAGCATCTCATTATATCCACCAGGCTAATCTTGAATACCTTGGCTGAAGTTATCCTTTGGCCTCAACTTTATTTTGCACAACATCTGATTGATTGGGATTAGAAGAATGCACCAAAGTTCCAGTTCCAACTGTTTTTGGTTTTGTACCCACCCTCACACTAGCACAGATGAGGACATAACCAGGAGGGCTTGTGTATGTTAGGCAATGTAGCCCTGAATTTTAAAATATTACCTTATCAGTTTTAGAAGTAGCAAACTCCAGGGGCTAGAAGTATGCTCAGTAGTACAGCACATTCTTAGCAGCATAGATAGATAGATAGATAGATAGATAGATAGATAGATAGATAGATAGATAGATAGATAGATTCCTAAGTTCAATGCCTAGCATCAAGAATGGGGCATGGGTCAAATTCTATATCCATCATATGATGTTTAGCCAAACACAATGTACATCATCATCAAAATGACTTAGGGAAGTAAAAATAAGAACCAAACCATAAGAGTCTTGGATTAATCAGAGAAATTTGTGACAGACCCAGAGGGGACCAAAAATGAGTAAAGTTGCTGACAGTTTCACAATTAGGATTATGAGTTTCTTGGTATCTAAAGAGTTTTGGTTGTGTAATGTGTGAATGAACATATGAAAATCTTCAAATGTTTTTGTCTAGTTCTGGAGACTAAAACCAAGGCCTTTCCAATGCCAAGCACCCAGATTTTACTAGAGGTGAAAAGCAGTTTGTGGAGGACAGCTACTCTTTTCAACAAATTAACTGGAGCAACTAGACATCGTAAGTAAAACCAAAGCAAACCAAAGTCAATTTTGGCTTGAATCTCACACTTCAGGCAACATTTAATTCACTGTAAAATGTGTCAAACTACACATTCTTAGAAAAAAGAGTAACAAAATCTTTGCTATCAATTTAACACAAATCATGATCCATAAAAGAAAAAAATCATTAACTAGACCAAATCAAAATTAAGAGCTTTTACTCAGCTAAAGATCCTACTAAAGGATGAAATAGTCATGTGCTAGTGACTAACACCTGTAATCCTAGCTACTCAGGAGTCTGAGACCTGAGGATCACAGTTCAAAGCCACCCTAGGGAGGAAAGTCTTAGACATTTATCTCCAACTAACAAGCAAAAGGCTGAAAGTGGACTGTGGCTGAAGTGACTGAGAGCCAGCCTTGAG